TTTGTCACTTAGCTTTTGCTAAGAGGACTGTTAAATTTCAGTAAGAGGCAAATGGGGTTTTAGTTTAAATGCAATCCCCATATTTAAATGATCTGTAATGGCACAGTGCTCAAGTGGGAACACTACTGTTTCACAGTGAGGCCTGATGGTGACATGTGACTTTTGTATTCAGGTCCTGTATTATCCATGTGGCTAAAGGGCTTCCAATTTCATTTCACAGCCAGAAGCCTGCAGAAAACACCAATTAACTTGCAGATCCCATTTGCCAACAAAACAGTCTCTTCCCAGTGTCTGGCAGTGCTCAACATTTAATTCCAAAGCAGAGCCTCACAGCCATCATGATCCCTGGGCTGGAGCACCAAGTCAATTTCCCCCACTTTTCAGGGAAATCTTTTAATTTTTGACGAGAACAAGCAACTTTTACTTTATTTTTCATGGATGAGTATTAATGACTTACCTGTCTACTAAGATTACATAGTCCATTTTTTTTTCTCTCTAGACTACAAAGAAAGCTTTCCTTCAAATCAGAGATCTCAGCTCAACAGGGATCAGCAGATATTCACTGTGCATTTCCATACTCCATTTTACCAATGCAATTTAATTAAAAGGCAAACCAAGGGGCTTCAGCTAATTAATCATTATGACATCCTAAACTCCTCAACCATGGTCACCACGAGACAAACACCTGAAGATCAGCATGTGAAATTTATATACTGGGATACCATTTAAACAGCAACATGAAGAATTCCAATGCTGCTTTTAACTCTGCAAAGTGGAATTCGTGTATTACCGTGGCGAGTTGGAAGTAATCACCAGCGCACCAGTGAAACTGAATCAAAATTCTCCTAGTTTGAGAAGTATCTCAGCAAGCCTTAGAGCTCTGACCTGTAACCTTTCCAATAGTGTACCTCTGACATTCCATAAGTAGCATACAGCTCATCCCATTCCTTGATGTAGAACAGGGAAATCTGCTAGGCAATTATTATATTCTTATTCCTTATCTAGGGTTTTAAAAAACAATTGCCTAGTTACGTGGAAGGCCTTTTTTTGTTAACATGATGCTTTTGAATCATGAGTTGCTCGAGAAATTAGGATTTCGTATTAAAAAATTGCCAGATTCATACTTAGACCTAAAGTATTCCATCTGGCGGTCCTGAGCGGACATTGCGGTGATTTTTAGGGGGCTTTTCATTTTTATTTTAGGCGGGCAGGGTTTCACTGTTGTTGTTCTTGTTTTTAAATTAGCACCTTCATTCAAACCCAAAATTACTTTTACTGAAATCAGCAATTTACCACAAACTTGAAGAGGAACTATGATCAAAGCTCAGTGTGTCCTTCCAGTACCCTTGCCAACACCCAATGCCAGACAGGAAGCATCACTTAAATTCTAATGAAAGGTTCAAATGACCCAGTCAAGGAGCAAAGCTGAAGTTATTTAAGTATGCTTAAAAGTCTATGCCAAGATGGAACTGACAAAGTGGCTATATGCCTAGCAGTTGGCAGACAGCATACCAAGTCAAGCAAGACACCCTTTATTAAACAGTCTATATTTACATACTTTGTATGCCCTAAAATTCTCCCTAACCACCTACCTGTGACATACATGAGAATACAGCTAAAAGACTTTATAAAAAGACTCTCTCAGATTACTCCGAACAGGTAATAAAAACGTTAAATATACTGAGGCCTGTGTCTCACATCCTCCATCGATATTTTGATTCTCTGACACTCTGGAAGATAATAAGCCAACATTACTTGGCAGCATCATGATAGCATGACTCCTTTAAACTCAATGTCTGAATTACCTCTTCTACTGGATTAGATCATATGTTGCCGAGGCCACCCTGATTTTCCCTCTGCAGTCTGCTATTGTGACTCTTGTCTCCCTTAAACTTGAATTTTTTGTATATTCACTTTTTTTCTTTTTTTTTCCTTTTGAGATACAAGTTTCACATGGAAACAGCAATGTTTAATGTGAAAACTGGGAAACTCAGCAAAGTAAGATCCTAGCAAAAAAACTTCAGAAGCTTGTAGCTTTCACATCAGGTAGAAGTTAATCTGAAGCAATTCACACAATTAACAGTATTTTGGAGGCAACTTGCTACGTGCCAGTGGAAGGAACCAAGATCTCCTATCAGTGGGGAGAAGAAATAGACAGTTTAGAATCACAGACACTACCCAGAGATGGAAGAACCAAGTTAAGTTCTACCCTTTGCCTACTGCCCACCTGGTGTGACTGAAGTGTACTTGCAACTGAAACCACGGTACAAGATCAGCATATTTTGATTCCCTAATGAGGTGTCAGAGCAGTCCAGAACTGAAACAATACGGTCTGCATCAGACTGCAAATACAGCAGCTCAGGCAGTGGTAAGGTGCTTTTTGGAAGTGACATCTAGAATTCTGATTAAGTAGAGGTAAAGTAAATTCAATTAATCCAAAAGGATTTGATATTCGATCCTGCAGACACATAGATTCCACCTCCTCTACCTTCAGACAGGTGTTGTCAAGAAAATTATGTTAAAGAAGACTGATGAAACAAGAGGAGCCGCTACAAAAATTTTAAAAAAACTTTTTTGTTTATTGACAGCATGTGGCAAGACTGCTACAGGTAACAGATGGAGAACACATTTCTGCCTCTCCCACCACCTACCAACTCAACCCACATAAGCAATGAAGCATGAGACCCTCCAGGTTTCAGTATCATGGGATACAATTTTGTTCCATGTATGTCCAGCTAGGCATGTGCCTTGCTTGGCAAAAACTGTTATTTTTGGCAAAAACAAGACAAGGAATCATAAAAATGGTGGTTAAACTCACAGTTGTTTCTAGACTCCAACAGAGCTTTGCCTGCTATAGTATTAAGGATTTTGATCACAGAAGTATAGATAGCTGTTTATTTGCCTTGTGCTTCAATTAGAGTGAACATAATCTTTACTATACAGGTTATATCCAATCTTATCCCACCAGCTGGTATCTGATTCAATCATGATCATTTTTGACCTCTAAGAGTGCAAAAGTTAAGTTTTGCATTTGAGATTTCTTTCCTAAATTAAGCATATAACTCTGGGATTTGATTTCATTTAGCTTGATTTTGGACCTTTAAATTACATTAAGAGCATTATGATATTTGCTCACTTCTTTACATTACTTATATAATGTCTCATAGGACATAATCTGTAAACTTTCACTTGTTATTAAATATTTTTATGTTTTCTGCCACATAAGTCAGGCACAGCCATATTGACCAGAGCACATCAAAACAGACTTCTTTAAGTCTAGACTTGAAAAGCCTTTCCAGAATGAGAGCACAGATTTCTACTCCAAGTTCCATGAATCACAACACAGTTCCATTTAGGTCATGTGTGTCTTCAGTTTGCTTTAGGAAAGCCACCAAGACACCTGTAGTAATGTTTGGAATGCTAAGACAGACATGTCAATATGTTCACTCATACATTCAGTGAATTACCTTTCAGAGGAATGAGTTAGATTTACCACTATATTTTAAATCAGGTTGTCTTTGATCTCCCACATGCTTCCATATCTACTAGTTAATAGTTTGTTACAGTACTTTAGGAAAGCAATGATTGTGGTTACTTTCTATCTTTCCTCTCACTACACCATCTTGAAAAACTGTTGACATTCACATTCAAGTTGTATTGATTTTCCCTTCAGACAACACCCTGTATCAACTGAGGCTGAAGCTGGGAGGGATTGAGAGCAGCCCTGCAGTGAAGTACTTGGTGTTACTAGTGGAGGATAAGAGGCTGGACATGACCCAGGTTGGACATGACATGGGCATTCACAGGTCAGAGAGCCAAACGTGCCCTGGGCTGCATCCAGAGCAGTGTGGGCAGCAGGGCCAGGGAGGGGATTCTGCCCCTCTGCTCTGCTCTGCTGAGAGCCCACCTGCAGGGCTGCAGCAGCTCTGGGGCCCCAGCACAGGAAGGACATGGACCCATCTGGAGGAGGTCCAGAGAAGGGCCACAGAGACAACAAGATGGACAGAGCACTGGCCATGAAAGGAAAGGCTGAGAGAGTTCAGGTTTACTCAGCCTGGAGAAGGCTCTGAGGAGAGCTTAGAGCTCTCTCCAGTACCTAAAGGGGACCTATAAGAAGGCTGAAGAGGGACTTTTTACAAGGCATGTAGTGAACAGACAAAGGGGAATGGCTTTATAGTGAAAGCTGTAAAGTTTAGATTTGGTATTAGCAAAAAAAATTCTTGACTGTGAGGGTGGTGAGGCACTGGAACCATTTGCTCAGAGCAGCTGCGGAAGCCTCATCCCTTGAAGTGTTTCAAAGCCAGGATGGATAAAGCTCTGAGCAAACTGGTCTAGTGAAAACTGTACCTGCCCATGGCAAGGGAGTTGGAACTAGGTGATCTCTAATGTCTTTTCCAACCCAAATCATTTTATGATACTGTGATGAGATTCTTAAGAGATTTTGAAAATTCCTGAAGTTGTAGTAGTTCAAAACTGTATTAGTTAGGTCCTGGACATCAGTTCAAATATACCTTTCCCATTTCAGCCTGTGTTATTCTCTTAATTCACCAATGAAGTCATGTATTAGGTAACCTCCACTGTAAAGCAATGTTAATTGTTAGTCTTCTGTATTTTGTCTCCTTTCTTGCTCAGTAATTGACTTCTGTAATTGTGAATCGGTTTCTTCCTCAACCTTTCCAGCTTAGCACTAAAGGCTCATGTATTTCACCTCAGCTGTGTAGCCACATTTCCACTTTTTGCTGTATTCTTTCTAGATCCTCTAGTACTTAAAAAGTGTTGGAATTGTACTTCTTTTACACCATGCTCCCTCTCCTTCAAATGCAACTGTCTCATGCTGTAGGTCAGAAATTCAATTTTACCCAAACTTAACTGAATAAAAGAAAACTGCAGAAAACCTCATCTGCTTAGCCTAGAACCACAACAGAAGTTTTTCTCAAATCCAAATATGTAACTGTTTCTTTATTATACATATGAACACCTAAATGAGTCTGTGAATTTACCCAGTTCATCCCAGAGCTGCCTATACTTGTCAGTCATTGTAGTTCCTTGTTGTCTCCAAAGCGACAGACGGGGGTCAGCCATGAACTGTTCTGTTATCAACGTCAACATGCGAGCTCCATTTGAATCTCTCATTTTTAGCATCTCTCGCACCTAGGAAACGAGTCTTTTAATACAAACTTGAAAAAAGCAAAGAAATCGCAGTACAGACAATATGCTGCAGTGTTAAATATTCCCCTTTTGCTAAGTTAGAAATTCAATTCATATGTGTGATGGGAAATTTTTAAGTAGAAAAAACAGTCTGCATTCCCAATTTTTGACAAAATTTTGGGCTCAGTATCCAATTGCAACTCTTCAGAGAATTTTTCCACAAGCAATCCACGGGTGTATTATACAAACTGCTGTAAGGTTTTCCAACATTTTGGGGGTGGGAAAGAAGAAGAGAACAGCAAAGCTGTAGAAGCTTGAAATGTTACTTCATATCTTTACACTGGTCAAGACACATCAGATTGTAGTCCACTGCTGTAAAACTCATTGTCAAGTTGCCATTGTATTCCCAAGGCTTTGTGTTATTTTAGAACAGCAGAATCTAGAACTTTGAGTAAGATGCAAGCAAGTACAGACCGGCTTGGAGAACAGGGGAAAGAAAAAAAGGTTCAGAGTACTCAACACACCTTCGCAAAAAGCAAATTGAGCTGCTTCCCTGATCCATGGTATCCACCCTGGGAGAGGAAGAGTTTAACCTGTTCTTGGACCTGTTCCTCATCCAAATGCCAGCAGTTTTCATCATCTATGCTAGCACCTGCTGTTGGGTCAGGAGCACCTGCAAACAGCAAGAAAAGAAATCATTATGTTCTATATGAAGAAGAGAGGTTCTTGAGTCCAGGGGAGAGGACTACTACATAGGTTTGTTTTTTTTGTGTCTTCTCCTGTTTTGGATGCCTTGATTTTAATCTAAACAGTCTTTAAAATAGACTTAAATTTCTTCTCAGTAGTCTTAAGTACTTAGAAATTATACCTATGAAAAGGCATTTAAATACATAATATTCTCTTATCTAACAAAATATTAGAATCAAGGTAAGGGTTTTTCCTTCCATCTCAGCAGCTACACTAGAATATTTTACAAGGAAAATTAAGATTTTGAATTATATTTCTACCACTGTGATGTGAAAACCACTCTCCCCAAAACACCTGTGTAATTCCTGTACCTTCAGCAATCTTGCTCAGGTTTAAGTGACTGCTAGTGAGCGCTGCTATTGATGAACATGAGGAGAATCATCACCTTGGTGCCTCTGAGCTGTGATGGCTCTGCAAAGCTAAACAAAGAGTAAAAAAAATCCCCAAACAAATCCAAAGTCTTAAAGGACTAAAGGCATTTCCATCATAAATAAGAGCTACAGATTCTTAAGACTATGCTGCTTTCAAAGGAAGCATCTTTACAAAGACAATGTCATCTGCACAGAGTCAATTTAGAGCGACTCTACTTGAATTAGCCCAGTATCAACTGAAATTACTAGATTCACATCCAGCAGTGCTTTGGCCACATATTGCCATAACACAGCTTTTGCAGATCAGACCAGTGATGTTCCCTCTCTTAAAGAATGACAAACTTAACTAAAACAAGTTCTTGCACCATTTAAGAAACTGTATTTTTCTGAAGAACCCTGCAACTCCACTGGACATTTTTTAAAAGGTCTTCAAACAGAACAGGCTGAAAAGTACTTATCTAGAGTGTTGGACTCAGCTCAAGGCTGGGCATCACCATACCAAGTATCAGTTATTTGAAGCATGGCTGAGACTCAAGTTGACTGCACATTTTAATTCTGAACTTATCACAGGTGCATAATCTCTATTATGTTTTGCGAAGATATTATAGAAATTGAATCACATTCAACAATCACTGAAATGTGTGTCCATGTTACTTCTGTAGAAAAAAAAGAAAATACTGCCAGGGAAGGAAAATGACAAATTTCTAAAAAGCTGGGATTTTTTATAGAAATCCTAGAAACTTAAAAAACCAAAATAGCTACAACTCTACGATGTATAGGAAAAGAACCCATTGATTCTATTGATTTAAGCCTTCATTTCACAACTGCAGCTCTACCATGAAGGTGAAGCTTTTAAGCAGTCACAGGAAACGCTGAGCTCTTTATTCAATGAAAACAAAAACAGACGATTTAGAGGGTTTGAGGGATGTCTTATGTAGAAATTGCTGAGACAGTAAACAAAACAGTGTTCCATAACTCCACAACTTCCTAAACTGCCTCAATTTCACAGCCTAAAACTGGGAACTCTGTGCTGCTGTATATATACACAATATGTGTTTAATTAATAAGAAATTGTGTCTTTTGAGGTGTGAATAAACTCTCCTACTGTCCACAGGAACACAAAAATGTCTCAGAAGACAGGAATCAAGCTCAAGACAGCATAAAAACCAAGGAATCAAAAACTTGCTCTTCTGCAAATGCTTGCATCTTCAACGTATTAGTTTTAAAGGGTTTTCAATTCTATCAGCTACATGAAACACATACTGATAAGTCTTTGGTTGCACAGAACAAGATAAAAAGGAAAATCAAGCTACACAAGAATAAGCAGTGCAGCTGTTGCACAGACCCAGGTTTGCAGTATTACCTTGCAAATACTTTAAATATTTCATTGCTCTAAAACACAAAGAGGGTGAAGAGGAACTATATAAAAGCAACAGTATAGAAGATGCACTTAAATTTCTTCCTTACTTCAAAAGAGATTTATCTTTAAATAATCTTGGTATGATTATTTTCAAGCTGAATTAAAAATAGCCCAGTATTCCTCAGCTAAGCTTCCCTATTTAGGGGGTGAAAAAAAAATCCTTCTGCAACTGTTTACACTTTATCAAAAGCTCACCTGTCATTTTGTGTTACAAGGTTAGAATAGCAATACAGCTACCACGGATTCTTTAACAACAGGTTTCCTTTACAAAAATAAGTGTGCCTGCTACCCAGGGCCACCAGCACTGCCTCCACCAAGGCTACTCCTGCCAGTATGATCCCAAATATATCTTAACCAGGAGCACAGTATCACTATACTCACAGCAGTGTTACTTGCAAGCCATTAGGCCAGACGACTGTAAAAGCTGAAGATGCCAAGAGTCTGTGCGCAACAGTGCTCTTCAGCACAGTGTACAGATACTCTGACTCAGAATGATTTTCTTTCTTACAAGATCTTACATAGGCAACATTCAGTACGATCAAAATTTTTACTTCTAAAATTTCAGTGAACATATAACCAGCACCAGCTACAGTTGCAATTCACTCATCTTTAAACCCTGTTGGCAGTCTTCAGCAATAGCTGTGGCATGGGGACACTGTGTCTGGTCAGGCACAAGTCCAGCCACCTTCCCACCAAGGCAGCAGACAGGCACTTTACTGATGCTGCTGGAGAAGCCTCAGCTTCTGCTGCTTATCATTCCTGTTTTGGGGTCAAGACACGACCACCTTCCATATCTCTCAACTAGGTACTTTTGAATTTCACTAGGTTCAACTACATCCAGGTGACTCATCTAGCCCGTTTCCTCTCCCACTCAAACAGATCATGGATGGGATTTCTACACGAGCATTTCTCTTCTGAAAACACAGGACTGGGTGAATAGGTAAGGAACTATCTGAACGAGCAAAAGGAGGAAGCTGCCTTAGGGGCTGTGAGAAGCCCTAGCAATAGTTGTCAGGAAGGCTCAGGCTCAGCATTGTATAGGCAGAACTGAAGGTTCAATCCAAAGACAGCAGCTTCACTCAAGGTGTGGAATGGCCCTGAACAGAAACTGGCAAGGCTTTGGCAGAAGGACAACTTGGCTGCAGAGAGGAAAGAGGAACATGAGCAGCCCTGAATTTAAACTATGCAGGGCAGTTTGGTACCAAGGCTAAACCCTGTTTCCCACTTGTAACCTGGGGATAAGTATTACTCGTGCTTTAGAGAGATGTCATGAGGATACATGAGTTCACATTTGAACTATGAAAGTGAGAAGTACTGTATAATTATACTAATATTAAAACCAGTAATTAAAGTGTGTCAGTTTATAGACACTAAACTAACATATTAGTCTACTCCTCCCCAGCCTCTGGCTTTTTAAACTTCTACCATGACTGGTCTTTGAAACATACTGTACATCAAGTACATACATTTAAACACAATAAATAAAGTCTTCATAACCAGTATACAGACACAGCCATATATACCTATTCATGCTCTTTTACTATAATTACTAAATTACAATCTCAGCAGTCAAAGCAGGAATATTGGGCACAACTGTTTGTGACACTGAACACGTAATAGTATTTGAAAACATGGTAGCGGCCTTTTACATTTAGGGTCATAGCAGGTTGCATGTTGAATATAACCAACTCCCAAGTTCTAAGAAGCAGAAGTATTTGAAAAATAAGCATTTTGTTCATTTACATAGCATTTAAAAGCAACTGCTTTCAAAATGAGCAACCATGTTTAAGAACTGATGCTGTACATGGAGAACCTAACCTCACAAATTAGAAGCAAGTAGGAAGCAATGACTAAAAATGGACTAAGAAGTTCTTATATTGCCAACTACTCAGGAGCAGATCAATAGGGAGATCTGGATAAACAAGGCAAACTGCTTCCCTGATGCTTATTTCTGAAGTGTCACAAGAGCTGACTTCAAATAAAACCATGCCAAATTATTCACTTGTAGCCATCCACACTGATATTTTCTTCAACTTTCTAATAAAAATGTCATTAATTTAAGCATACAAATGAACTGTAGATCAGTTACATTTTATTAGATGTCATCCCATGGCATCATTAAGGACAAGATATGGAAAAATTATTACAAATAAAAAGCATGACTTAATGAGTATTATGTGAAGACAGAATGAAAGAAACCCAGCTAGAAACCAATGCTGCTATATGCTGATTCACAACAGAATAGTGATTGATTTTAAAAACACAGTATACTCGAATTATTCTAAAAAATAATTACATAAAACCAAGTATCATTAAAATAATGATTCAGAAATTTTATAATGTTTTTGATTCCCCAAATGATTCCAAGTTTAGACACAAGTCATGCAACTTCAGGACTTCTGGGTGAACTACTTAACACCTGTTCAGCAGCTCACAGTATCAAAGGAAAACAGCAAATGCTATGAAGCTGTCAGTGATAGCAAAACAAAACATGAAGAGTGTGCCAAGTTGCTGATGAAAGTTAATTAAATCTTAAAAAGTTAACTTAAAAAAATGCTGCATTCCCTCTGTATATACAGCCAAACATGCTGCATTATCTACTAACAATATCTAACCTCTCCTGCTAAAATCTGCATCTCACAAAAATCCATATTGTCATACACCAGCATGTTTCAAAACTTATTTGTGCATGGCAGATAGAATAATTTTATCAGTATAGATAAGCACATTTTATTTTAATTATCTTGCATGTCTTTTAGCAAAATCTCACTATTTTCTATGTAACAAGTTTCATGTTTAATGTATCTGAAAAAACCTTTCCTAAAAATGTTAGTTTCATAAATTAATTTTCATGTTACTTTGCAGCTACCAGTCTTTTATTTTTACATTCTACTACTTATTTACATTCAGTTAGGTTTCTTGAATTTCTCTAGTTTTGGCTACTCTTACTTTTACTTCCTCCCCATATCTGGCTCACCAAACACTTCTCATACTAAGCACTTTACTTTCATTCTTCTTGAAAGGAAATTCACCTGCCATTTCCTGCATTCTTCTTTTGCAGCTAGATTCTCAATCAATTTTGCTCTTTAGGCAGGGTTGTGTGAAAGATTCCATAACTTTAAAAATAATTTATTTTCTTTAACATTACACATTTTTTACTAGCAGATCAGCAATACATTTTATTCAGCCCTACCCTACCCCACAATTTTCTATTAAAACCCCCATCAATATGGTTAAACGCATTAAATACATCTAAACATGTATTAACCTGTACCGCCAGATTGCCCCTTTGAACTTAATAGTTACAGGAACAATATTAGATATTCTGAAATCTTCTTCAAAAGCTTTTTTTGGAAAGCTGTTTTCTTCTTGAATGCCTCCCGCAGCACTGCTAATATTCATTACAAATTAACATTTGCTGAGGACGTACTCACACTTGCCTGGACAAATGTAGAAAAAGTAGAGAAACAAGGTGCCTGTCCTTCTCAGAGTATTAATATACTTGAGCTGCTTCCTCCCACACCCTCCCTCCTAAATATGAGTTCACCTGTATGTGGATTTGTACTGGCAAGTGACTTTAACTGTGAGTTGGAGAATCAGAGAATGACAGAAAGTCTAGAGAAAGCCATATAGTTCCTCCAAAAGCAGATTGCAACAGTGGCAGTAAACAGTCATCAAAAGAAAGAGTACAGCTTAAAAAGTAAAAATTAAGTAGGTTTGCCAGGCTGTCCTTATACCAAAACCAGCAGAACCTTTTTCACTATGCACACAACAAAAAAACAATGGTAACACAAGACTAATATAAAAACAGACCTTCCCCCTCTCTCTCTCCACCCATCCCACAGTTACTTTGCCACTTCTACTCAAATTCTCATGATCAGTTTGTCCTTTCAACCAATTTACTGAAGTGAGAGTTTCATACCCATGAAAAGGCAGATCTAAGATGACAAATCCAGCTGACAATCTGTTGTCATCCTAACTGCTCTGCTCCTAAACTACACATTCTCTCCTACAACAGTACAAAAATTAAAAGGGAGGAAAAAAGCCTCAGTTAAGCAAGACCCAAGGCTATATCCAGCTACCTGTGAGAGCATACCCAAACCAAAATCCAATGTGAAGCCAGCAGTTCTATAGTACAAACACCAGGCAGGGTATCAGTATTAATACATGCAGTTGTCTTCAGTATGGATTACACACCACAAAACTCCAGTTTTGAGATCATCAGGAACATGAACAGCTGTAACAGTGTCACATGAAAAAATCAGAACACAGTACCTTCTCAAAATTAAGAGGTGCTTTTGTGCTCTAAAAATATGCAGAACACTCTTTTAATCACCACCAAGTGAAAACAGCATGGAAAATACAGAAAAATATTCCCACTAAATCACTTCCCTCCTGAAGAAGTTAGCAAACTAGCCAAAACATTCTTGTGAACAGCATCCTCTTATTTCTCCCTGCACTGAGGCTCAGTCATGAAGCAAGAAAGGATATTGCATCACTTGCGTCCACCAAGAAACTCAAAGGGATTGGCTATTATAAACCTGTGTCCTAAGTCACTTCACTAATTCCCCAGTAACCTCCTGAAAGGTGGCCAAAGACAGTCATGAATGCTGCATACCACAGTTTTGAGCAGGTGAAACATTATCCAATTATTTTTTTGTTTAAAGGAGAGAACTGACGTTTTTTCATCTAATCATCTCTCAAGAGCCAGCTCATAAGGAAGACAACTGTCATCAAAGCTCTTCCATGTCCCAGACCATTCAAACATACAAATAAATACTATTCAAGAGTTGACTTTTTTCATATATTATTGAAAATATATGAAAATTAGAGCTACTACAGTGACCACAGAGGAAAACAAAAGCAAAAGAATGGAAGATTATATAGAACAACACCGAAATTAAACCACTTCTAGGCAACACTGAAAAGAATTTAAACGATTTCCCCATCCAACTGCAGTTTCAGAATTTCTCTTAATCAAAGTTGTTTCAGGTGTTTCTGTGCCAGATCTCCTCTACTTTCAATAAACAAGTTTTTCCAAGTTTTTCTTCTCACTTATTTATACCTTCAAGTAGAATTTAATACAACTTCTCTTCAAACGCCAGTTCAGTGAGGTCAGACTGTTCAAAGCAAGACAGGTCTGCAAGACAGTTCTGTGCTACCAACTCAACATCTGCAGCATAGGAGATATGAGACAGTAAATGGTGATACTGTATTTATCACCCTATGATATTAGAATGAGAAACATTTTTTTGGTTATTTTTCATGGAGTTTTTTTTTTTGTCAACTGTATTATTTTTAATCTAAGGAATTTGACTGAAGATCAAAAGAAAAGAATTATGGTATGAATCCCAGAAGAACACTTCTCTACAGAAGAACTCACTTTTTCTTACAAGAACTATGTAATTTTTAGTATTGTGAACACAAAAAAAAAAAAAAAAATTCAGACCACGGTTTTACATGAGTCTGAGAGGAAAAGCAGGAAATCATATAAAGTCTTTTATAACCCAGTCTCCTTTGGTAATAGCAGTTCATTTTCTTATGCTTCTTGAATTTTGTACTTTGGCTTTTGGCATTTCAATAGAAAATAGTCAATAAAGACATGCTGCAATCTCACTTACTAGGAAGACAGCAACATATGGAAGAAACATTTCAGTTTTTTGGATAATTTTAAAGTAACCTACTCAAATCCTTTGTGAAATGTCATAACTGATCATCAACTTAGAACAGGAAATAAAGAAAACTTTTTGCTATTTTCAATGATATAAATCTCAAATCTTTCTCCAAAACTACTTAATATAATAAGGAGCAGTGATATATTCTGACAGTAAATAGCTGACAAAGACTATGCCTATGATTAGTCTAATTTACAGACTTCGTATTTATCAAGTCTGTAACAGCTTGTCATTTCTCTCACATTATCCATAGTATAGCTAATACAGACATTTATAACACCTGTCCTTTGTGTCCCACCCCTGCCTTCCCCTTTTCTAATCACTATTGACTGAATCTTCTGTACCCCTCTCTTACCCTAATTCTTCCTTACCCATTAGCTCACTACTGTGCAGGTTGTTAACAACTCTCATATGATACATGCTTTTAGCTCATAACATCCGAGCATGTTCCTCTACTGCTTAGTGTCCCGTCTCTCCTTTAGTTCCACTTTCACCATTCAACTACAGCAACCGCCTTGCCTCTGCCACATCTCCACAGCCCCCAGTGCCAAAAAATACCACTACTCCTGAAACTCACTTTCTTGCAGCATCACCTGTCTGCACCTACTAGGGTCACAGAAGCACAAGGAGAAAGTTAAGCTGCAGATGAAGCCTGTTATTAAAAGGACTGGGGCTTTTTCTGCCTACACTGCAACACACACTTGGTTTTCTTTATCTTAATATTAAGCATCTTGGTTCTGTTTGTATTGCAAGTTCTTTTGGGTAATGGTCACACCTCAAATATTTAACACAAGATCTGCTCCTGTCAACGGAAAAAAAAAGAAAAAAAAGAAGGTATTTTTAGATATTAGGTAACTTACTCTTCCCCCCTAAGTTACCCTTATACTTACAGCTCTGGCCACCTGAGAGGACATTTCTATCAGGTGACCTTACAGGAACACAGGATTCTAATAAACTAGCTGGGTCACCTCAAACCCACAACTACCCACTCTCAGTTCAGCAGGGTCCACAACCAAGCCATGTCAGAAGCCTCAGCACCCTTTAACAAACACAAGTTGTCCACAGCAAAAGATGGGCATTAAAATCATGTGTACCAGAGAGAACAGGAACGATCAAGACTTGGCTATGCTTTAACTGCTGCAGCACCAACAGGAAAAAGGCATGGAAATGCAGTTTTTATGTTTCTTCTGACATCATACATAAACCAAATCCCAAAACTTAATAGAATTATATTTAATGAATTAAGTAACAGTAATATCTACTTGCTTTTATGCTTTGTTGTTAAAACAAAATTCCACAATCAAAGTGTCAGAAAACTAGTACAAAGAACAAAATAACAAGACACCACTAGTAAGTTGATAAAATAATTCCTTTAAGCAATATGGCTATAGAAACAAAGAACATCACTACTCAGTTTTCACTAGCTGGAAAACACAAGCCTGAAGCAGAGCAGGTCACTTATTAACTGAACTGCTGAAAACATCAAGCTCATTGCTTGCGAGTTCTTTTCTCTATTCCAAAGAACACCATTTTCCAAGTATCTTAAAATGAAGGTTCAGTAGAACAATCCTCTTTAGTAAACACCATTGAATCACAGAATAATTCAACATGGAAGACAACTTGGCAGTTCGTCATGCTCCTGAAGGTACAAAAAAACCTCAAAACCTATGAGGAAATGAAACAAAAGGAAGGACAAGTATCAAACTCACCATGGACTTGATTGATTTCTGAATTCTGAGAAAGAATTTCATCTGCTAATTTTTGAGCAGTTGGCAAAACTTCTGTGTGGTGTACTGTGATCAAATACTGCACAAATTTTTGTAGTTGGTCTCTGTTCATTTGAAAGAGTGTCTCTGAAATGGGAAGATGCAGTTTGACCTGATCTGGCTTGCGGATCCGGTATAAAGAGAGTGCCACAACATGGGCACAGTAAAATATGTCCTTGTTTCCACAGCTACAGGTCACTGAGGTAATCTTGCAACGATCAAAGCTGATAGCTACATTGCAAACAGTTTCTGGCTCCGATTGCATTGCGGGCTCTGTTACTGTGCCACTCAAGTGGAAACCTGTGCAGGGGGGAAAAAGAGAACTTAATGATACATGTAAAATACTGTATCTCATTATCAAAGAAGTTTTGTTAATGAAAAATTACACATCTTAAAGAACTTGCTTTAATTACAAATATGATTAATTTTTTTTCCCATACATATCTCTTTCAGCTCAAATAAATCAAAAAGGGAGTAAGAAGTTAGTTTACAAGCCCTCTACCATACCATCACAACATTCATAGAAGTTTGACAGCAAGAGAACTATTTATTTGGTAAATTACAGCTGCAGAAGCAGACCAACATCCCATCAAAACACGACAACCACTCAGTAAATTGGCAACAATTTTCCAACCTCTCTCCCACGGGGGAGCCTGCAGCACCTACCAGCAAATTTAAGCATTCTCTCAGTAAGTGAGAAGGAAGTAGTGCACTCTAGTGGCATGAACTCAGGTTCTGGTACCAGCTGACTCACTGACAAGTCACATACCCTCTTTGCTTTCACTTCTCCCACCACTGAACTCATGCTAATGCTCACCCATCACCCAAGTGATCCAGTAAAACGGCTATGTTTGTGCAGCATTTTGGACATGGAAACTGCTGCAGTTACTAATACACAGCATGTCAGACCTCTAACACTCAATGAGACACGTGCACTGTTCCAGGTGCATATGCAGTCTGCATTATGCTCCTGTTTTTCCATAAGTATAATAAACCACAAGGCAAAAGAGCTAGGTCTGTGTGTACTGTAAGAAGACATGGTCTATCCTAAGCAAGATGTTTCCTTCAGCAAATATACCACATGTCAGCACAGCACAAGATCTCAAATGCTGAAGATTCAACCTAAACCCACCTGTTTGTCCAACACGAAGGCCCAGGCTTGGCTGTCAATGCTTTATCACTGAATACCAGAATAAGGGGTTTCTTTTTGATTTTACATAAGCATGAAATTGATTTCAGCTCAAGCATTAAATCTGAGACACAGACACAGGGTAACAAAACTGAATTTCACATGCTGCACCAGCACTAGATTTGGAAAGTACATATAAAATCTGAGATAGATACAAGTAAGGTGTTATATAACAAATACTTACAAAGGAAACAATATGAACCCACACTCCCCAATGTCAAAAAATTGATCTAATATTCTTGAAATATCAAAGAGGTGTACTGCAGGAAGCATTATTACATGAAGATTAGACATGGGAGGAGAGGGGGAAGCAATATATACATAGCTCTAATCCAAAATGTTGTATCCCAAACCATTTTTTAAAAGCTCTGAATTTTACAGGAAACAAAAAGGAAAATCAGGGGTTTTTTTCCACTTGTTTACCCTGTATGAACAGATTATGTAATCAGCATCACTGCAGTACTCTCATACTCTACCCTGAAGAAAGTCATATGCATACACTAACATTGATTTTGCAATGGGATGTTTCCCAGGTAGTTTTGAGTCAAGGCTGAAGAGGCAGTCAGTGTAAAGTGCACAGAGAAGAAAGGCAGTGGATGAACAAGACCAGGATCAAGCAGTATTCCTGCTCCCACCCACCCCTTATTGAGAGAAAGGGAGTGGAAGTGCCCCTCACATCATGAGCTCCTTCCTCTGTCTTTCCTTTTGGTTTTTAAGTAGTCACATGTTTCTTTAAGTGCTTACTCTCAAAAAGAAAGCCTTTGTTAAAGTTTGAACCAGAAATAAATAGAGCTGGTTATTCTCAGCAAGTAGAAGTTGGATTGGTAATCCCAGAGAAACTGCATGCAAGATTATTTTAATTCCACTTTCCTGTGAAGCATACATAAAAAAAACCCCATCTATAATCCATGAGCTGAGGAAAAGTCTAACACTTGAACACAGAAAGAGCCTGAATCCCACTCCTTCCTACTCTTTGTAAAAGCTGGACTTCTATTAAACACAAAAGAAAAATGCCCAGTGAAAGTTTTTTGGTTAAACTGCTGGAAAGTAGTAATAAAACAGACCAACCAGCTACTCTAACAATATTACCACTTTCAATTCATCAGTATATTGTTCAAGCATTCAAAAAAGTTAAAACCCTCCTGGAAACATGAAGGTCTCCAGAAACACTCAGAGCAGGCCTGCCCTTAAATCCCTGCACTGCTTAGATACAAATACAGGTCATGGCTCCCTCTCCACTGGGAGCTTTTTATTAAGAATTCATGTTACAAGCACCAAAATTTAGAAACATTTAGAAACACAGATACTGGTCTAAACAATGACAGCACTAATACAGTCACCTTACTTAACTTACCCTTCTTAACCTACTGGGAGTTTAAACAAAATAAACACCTGCTGTTCTTGCAGGCTAAAGACACAGAGGCTCTGTATTAACTAATGCAGGATATACGTCCTCATTATGAAACACTGTTTTGCTCCTCTTTATCTGTTTGCGTTTTTAAAGAAAAATTGTTGTCAGTAAATATGACCTTTAAAAAGTTTTAACCGTATCAAAAAAACCAATTCAGGAAATTTCACCTCAGAAGCACTGGTAAGGTTATTGTCATTTAACCCACCAGAAATCAAACAACACCTTCACCATTGACCCTCAACATTGCAGAGTACTGAACACATAGCTTTAATTTTTTTTTTTTTTTTTAGCCTAACCACCTATTCTCCTATCTCCTATTTGTCAGTAATTTACAGCCTGTCAAGAAGCAAGATGTTACATGCTCCTGGAAAAAGACAAAAGGAATTACCTATGTGGGGACTTGAAGAAAATTACATTTCACTAACAGGTCCAAAGGAGCAGAAAAGGTCTCTTGAGCTAAAACTTGCAAGCTCTCACCCTAAACAAGTACTTCCCTTCAAAGTGAAAATTTCTCTTTTACCCAAAGTTACAGAATCTTTGCTAGAAATATTTATCCATTCGAAACAACTCCAAGAACAATGATATTTCACTTTTTGGTTAGAGAGCTCATTCATTATTAGCTAAAGACAACAAAAGTGTTGCCGGCAGAAAAGTGTGCTCACTACAGAAGCTATTTATAGAACATGCACGTTTCACCTTTTCCTTTAGCAGTGGCAGTTTGAAACATTTCACTGTTCTCAAACCAACCTGTGATCAGTAACTCAAGCTCAGCTAACATGTCCAATGCACAGAATGCACAGACGCTCTGTATTCTGCAAAAATGTATTTAGAAAAGCATATGAAGCACTAAGACAATGTATAATAAAGCTCTTTTTACAAAACAATTTTGCTTCTGTTGGACACTCACTTCAAAAACACCTCAGTGTTATTTAATAGCCAATAAAATAGCGTTCTCAGCTGTCATACTTTTGGAAGGGCACTGTGCCAAAGTGCCATCAAGAAGAAAGCATTTACAAGTCTGTGATTTTTACAAAGCAACTTTTGCCAAAATCTGCTAGACAGCATTCTGTTGACTAAAAATATTCTGGGACTTTAAAGCCACCTGAAAATTGGAAATCCACACTCTTACAACGTACTACTTGCCAGCACAAGGATATATGCCTGTCATAACAAAAACACCCACCACTTTAGAGGAAAACAAAAGCAAGTTCAAACTATAACACACTAAGGAGTAGAAAAAACCAGTGGCATGTGGAGAAGCAGGAGCAGGTAGGCTTGCTTTGAGTTACTCAAGCCAGAAGCAAAGTTTGAGATAGTGAGTTTCACTACCTCATAGGATTATGTAGCAAAGTCAGTGCACCAAATAAGCATCTCATGAGCTTAATTCATCTCTATTGTCAGTATTAAAAAGCATCAAGCTTAATAGGCCGAAGTCCAAAGAGACATTTTGAAAACATACAGACCAAAATGAACAACTATCAGAAGCAGCCATGTAAAATGCTGTGGGTGGTGTGGTCTATGTCTCTGTGCATGTTCAGTCAATAATACCAGTGGCTAAAAAAACCGAACGCAAAACAACAAAAAAACACCCAGAAAAATTACTTTTGCAAGTATAAGTTTATACTTGCAAATGACAGATTTGATTGAAACACATCCATAGATCACCACTGGGTATTGTTTAACAGAAATTATAAAAATATCAGAAATGGATCAGAGTAATACCCCAAAGCTTAAAAATGGTGCTCTCGAATACCTTTCTGTCATGTGCCTTTTGACAACATTGTCTATGCCTCATCCACTATGTACAAACTCTCCTAAAATCAGGAAGTATACTACCTGCTCTATTGGAAATGAATGCTCTCCTTAACATTGATCCACAGACTCTTTTCCTAAGTATACATACTGTCTGCTGGTCAGGAACACACAAGAGCTGTTCTACTTTCACAGAAGAGGTCACCAGATTAAGTTACTTACTGAGAAAAAAACAGGAGAGCTTGTTCTGGAAGCTGGGTAATTCAGCATGCAAGACTTATACAGGCACCTCCCCTGTATATAACTTTACATTGGTTATCAGAATTGTACTCTGTCTTCAACATTAAAATGACTTGCAGGCCAACCAGCTTACATTTGTTCAGACTACTATATTACTTGGCAAATGCATAATCACGGCGTAAAGTGTAAACACCTCTGTTTCATCTTGCCTGCCTAACAACAACAGACAAATACTTCTGGAAAGTAGTTTCTAACCCTGCCCATTAGTTACTTTTTCATGCTTGCATCAGTGGTTAGATTTTTTTTCCCCAAGACAAGCAAAAGTTTAAACCATATTTAGCTTATTCAAATTTTGTCTTTTTAGAAGTGGTTTTCCTTTGCAATGCTAAAGTAGCATCCTACATTCAATTCTGTCTGAACACTGGAACACTCTAAGAACAGATCAACAATGCACTTTGAAATTGTTACGAAATTAAAACTTTGCACGCCACCTTAGCCTGAAGCTAATTTTAACAACCTTTTCATAAAACTGAGAAAACACTGATTTAAAATGAAAAATATTCACCCATCGTATCTTAAACATGCCAATACAAAGACATTAAGGAGTTGGAAAATAAATTAAGAACAATACATAAGATGTTTACTGTTTCTGATTAATACATAGGGTATGGACCAACTTAAGTTTTGACATCTCTGTCACCTTAATAA